TGGTGCCCGCTCGAGCAAATTGATGAATAACGGGAGGACAGTGCTACAGTTAGGGCATACGCATTTTACCTCAACAGGTTATGTTTTCCATGTCAAAGTCTATAGCAGTCAGTTTAGTCTTAGCAGTTTAGTCACAAGGTATTACACAGTTTTCCTTATCTTGGATTAGGGTTTTTTCCCGGGGGTGGGGGGACACAAGGCCATATTAAGTTCAATATCTTTTTCAACAACATGCCATTGATACTTTTCACCTTGCTTAAAGTTTTTCATTACTAAAATAGGACAAAGTTACATATGCTCTGACAGGTCAACTATGTAAGGTAAAAGGTAAGGTAAAGGCCCTCCCGTTGTTCATCGATTTGCTCGAGCGGGCCTAGTAACGTCTCCATTGGAGACTTTGTTGTTACTGTGTCTGGCATATCGAATACATCACGGGGAGCTTGCCAGGGTCTGCTGTGTGGGCGAGATACTCTTGGTAGCTTGCCGGGCTCTCCGAGAGGGGCGGAGGAATCGAACTCGGGTCGGCCATGTTGGTTGCGTGCAAGGCAAACGGCCTACTGCTGTGCTATTGCTCCAGCCCTATGTAACCTCTGTGTTCTATTCATTAAATATAAGCATTTCTAGTAATCAAATCTTTTACATTTATCAGTTTGCCTCACGTGATACAGCTTGTGTCAAAAAACATTCAGATGATACATGGGTGGTTCAGTGGGAGAATACTTTTTTTTTGCTTTTTTTAGGGTCACACCCAGAGATGCTCAGGGGTTACACTTGGCTCTGCACTCAGAAATTACTCCTGGTGGTGCTGGGGAGACATATGGGATGCCGGGGATTGAACCCAGGTCAACCACATGCAAGGCAAACGCCCTACCCATAGTGCCCCAGTCAGTGGGAGAATTCTTGCCTGCCACACAGGAGGTCGGGTTTGATTCCCAGCCCATGCAATGGATGTTTTCTGGAGCCAGAGTGATAGCACAGTGGTTACGGCACTTGACTTGCAATGCAGCCACTCCGAGTTCTGTCCCTGGCACCCCATACAGTCCCGGAGCCCAAGCGAGAGTGGTCTCTGATACTGGTGATAGGATGATGCTGGGAAAATTGGACAAAGAATTTGATCATGGCTCATTGTAAAGTTGGGTGTTATGAATAACTTTGTAGATTACAGGACCTCAATAAAAATATCCTTAAAAATCGTTCAAAAGGAAGAAATTTATGAACACTCGATGTCCTGGTATTCTAAAGTTTCCATAACTCAATTTCATTACCATATATACCAGTAATATGAGAATAATGCTGTGAACAGTTAGTTGTAGTTATAGCCATTTTATATACTAAGCTCTGTTTTTACAAAAAGGAAGTTCTATCTTTACAAATAATGGTTATTTATTTACTTGCAAATAAATATCATTAACATGTAAATGATATCCTATACTCTCAAATAGTGATAAGCAAAAGGAATCCAAATCATATATCCAATTCTTTAATCACCAAGGGATAAGCAAACAGCTCATTAAGTAGTAAAAGAAACCCTTTCAAAAGAAAACCCTTTTCAAAAGATGAGAAGTTGTGTGAGTATCTTTCCGTGTGTGTGTGTCTTTGTATGTGTATAAGTTGGTGCCAAGAATCAAACCCAAGGCCTTATACAGGTAAAGCATGAACTCTTCCAGTGAGGTACTCACCTGGCTAAAATATTTATGGATTATTTCTATTGATGATCTTTTTCACAAAAGTTAATTTGTAAAAATATAATGAACTATGAAAATTAAACTGCAAAATGAAAGCAAACTATTCCATAAATCTTATGTAACAACAGGGAGCTCTTTACAAAGTCTAGAACAAGTTGATGAAGTTTAATACTACATATCAGATTATTATAGCCCTAAGAACACAGAAACACACACCCCACAACAAATATATGCAAACACTCCTGTCACTGAAACTATATCCTTTGAATAGTCAACCGTACAAAATTTTTTCCAACCTCAGAGACAAAAATAGCATAACGTCAAATATTAACAGTGTGAAACTACTGAATGGTCTGGCGCAGGAATTTTAAACATCCTTTTGACACAGCAAGTAACAGGCTGAACCTGTCACCAATGTGATAAGCTGCTTCTGAGGAGAACGATAGAAGTCAATTAACTTTAAGCACTGAGATAATCATCACTCATTACCACATGCTGGTTATAATCTTTATGAAGGTCTTATAATAAGATTTCAATTTCTCATCTGTTCCTGAATTCAATTAACTCTCTTGTCATAGGGAAATCCTCATTGTTCCCACACTCCCAAATAAATTGGGCTCCTTTTCTTTGACTACAGCAGAAAGAGTACATGACCTAGCCAGAATTTCACTGACTTTGAAGGAACTTCAGGAGATATGAAAATGTATTATTGTCTTTTCTATGGAATAAGCTGAAAGCACTAAATACTGAACATTCTGGAGATGGAGCAAACCACTCTGTGGGAAAGGAATGAATGATGATGCAGAAGCCATAGAATGGTTGCAAAGTAATCAGATTCTGAATATGGAATGGACGTAGAGCCAGCAGGATTTACTGGTGGAGATTATATGGAAATGTGAGAAAAACGAGGAGTGAAAAACCCTGATTTTTTAATTATAGGGTATTATAAAGGCACATATTATATAGAATATATTATGTTATATAGTCCATATAATATGCATATATTATACATGTTATAGGGTCTAGAAATTCTTTTGTAAAATGGAAGTCATAATAATATGTCTGTTGTGTGTCCACAGTAGCAGAAGGCAAGAAAGAGGACAAGATATGTAGCTTTAGGTGCATATATCTGGGTAGAAGTTGCAGGAGCTTGGGGAAGTACTCTTTGTATTACTGCCATTTCCTCACTATTAATTAACTTCCAGCTTTGATGTTGATAGTACAGTTGGAGGTTTTAGGGATTTGTTTTGTTTCAGTTTTGGTCCACACCCAGTGATGGTCGGACTCCCTCCTGGCTCTGCACTCCGGGATCATTTCTGTTGGGAATCAGGGAACCATATGAGGTGAAAGGGATTGAACCCGGGTCATATGTGTGCAAATCAAGTGCCCTACACACTGTATGACCATTCTGGTCCCAGGTTTAGAGATTTAAGGAGAAGGGAACATGTATCATTAGTCACCCAGTAACACAGGAGAGGGAATGGTTGAGAAAACATAATATGATTGCTAGGCAGCATGAACGGCTCACTCTGAGTTTATGGCCATAAATTTAATGTGTGATCAGCCAATATAGATGTAAATGTTGTTCTGCTACTTCAGTGATGCAAAGGGCAGGCAGAAAGCATGCTGGAAGTAGGATTTAACCAGGGTTATTTTTTGATAGCAAGTGGAACAAAGAGCAAAAGGGATCAAGGGAACAAAAGTCATATGCATGGCAATTAGCATGGAAGTTGAGCTGGGTAAAGAAATAAGTGAAAATATTCAGGTGGAATGAAGGAGCAATTTAAAGGTGGCAGGATTAATTCCACACTACCATAGGATGTGGTGGGTACTGTTTAAACTACCAGGATACTGTTGCTCGGCTATTGCCATACCTTCTATTTAATCAGTATTATAATGAAAACTATGAATAAACAAATCTTTGGAGTTGAGCACAGTGAATTATTTACACCAACTTCCTCAATTAGTCCTACTCTATCTTTCCCGATCTGTCACCCATGCAAACATATGTACAGACACATACATATATACATACCTTTAAGTGGTGACTACAAGTTTTCTATTATGTGGGAAATGGGGGTAAGGGTTATTTCCCTTGCACTTGACTTTGGGGTTGCACAATGAACTGTGTTCAGGAGTCACTCCTGGCGCTGTGCTCAGGCATTACTCCTGGTGGACTTGGGGGACCATATTAGGGTTCTGGGATTGAATTCAGATCAGCTGCATGCAAGGCAAGTGCCCTGCATACTATACTCTCTCCAGCCCCCTCCCTCGAACTTTCTAATTATTAACTTTTCCATATTGAATTTGAAGTGCTTTTCTAATTTAGAAAAATAGCACTGTAGCACTGTCCTCCCATTGTTCATCGATTTGCCCTAGCAGGCACCAGTAACATCTCACAACAATTTGTGAGATTTGTTATTACTGTTTTTGGCATATCGAATGCATCATGGGTAGCTTGCCAGGCTTTGCCATGCAAACGAGATACTCTTGGTAGCTTGCTGGGTTCTCCAAGAGGGGCGGAGGAATTGAACCCGGGTGAGCCACATACAAGGCAAACAAACGCCTTACCTGCTGTGCTATCGCTCCAGCCCTTAGAAAAATATATTTTGATAAATATATTTACACCCAAATAAAAATTACAGGCTGGATATGCTCCCTGGAGTTCAAAGATTTCATGGGGGCAGGAAAAGAATTGTACACAAATTACAAAATTGCCATTTTTTGGGGATAAAAGATAACATATTTTTGAGTTCTTTTGTTTTGGGGCCACACCCAGGTGTGCTCAGGGCTTACTCCTGCCTCTGGGCTCAGGGATTACTGCTGGCAGTACTTCGGTGACCATATGAGATCCTGGGGGTCGAACCCCGGTTGACCATGTGAAAGATAAACACCCTGCCCACTATACTGTCACTCTGGCCTCAGCTGATATACTTTTAAAAAATTCACAGGTTTCTGGGATGGATAGATAACTCAAAGGGGTGGAGCACATTCCTTGTCTGCCCAAGTGCCCCAGGTTTGATCCCTGGTACCACATGAGCTCTGCATGAATCCAGCAATCCTGGGAATAGCCCGCGTGGTTCTCAGCACACTGCAGAGCGTGCCTGCCAGAGCTTCTGATCATCAGATCTCAATCACTGGCAGTCGATGTCAGGCCTCTCAGACCAATAAAGAAAAACAAACCTCACCAGGTTTTATTAAGTTTATGCATGAATTATTGTCTGGCCAGTGAAATTTTCTGAAAATACACAACCCCCAAACTATAATTAATACAGCTGAATATTTTTAAAATTGGAATAAAGGAACATTACCAACCTGCTTCCGGCTTTGAGCTCTTGCATTTCGCAATCTTCGAGCAGAATAAAAGATAAAATAGCCCACGGTTGCCGCCGTGATAATAAAAAAGGACACAGACACGAAGAAAATGGAATAGTGATTCACCCAAGGGCCGTGTTTCTTCCCTACTTCGATCACCATTGTTACTTGTATGCCTCTTTTAATAGACTGTAGAATTTTTGTGCCTTTCAGATTGCCAATCATGATTGCAACAATACCATCAGCACCTGTAAAAGAAAAGCAATTCAGTTTTAGTTTGTAAAAGTATTCTTCATCTAAAAATCAAATGGCTAAAGTGATCTTAAATGATTTTAAAACAGTCAGAGGAAGGATATGTATTGAATTAACATTTGAGCCTGCTATGTGCATCTAAGTTATTGGAGGGTGTAAGCATACAGGAGACTTGGTTTCTTATTTAAAGAAATAATAACTTAGTAATGAAGGTAGCTATCATATGTAACGAAAGCCACACACAGGTTAACTTCTAATATAATTCAGCAGCATTGAGATGGTGCCCCATTTGCATCTTGTAGAAAGACTTTAAGACAGCTCCCTAGATACTGGAAAATAAAGGGTTATTCACTAGAAAATTTGAAAAATTGGGAGAACATAAATATTCAATAGTATATTTCTTAACTTATAAAGTGGCAGAATTTACTAAAATATGTAAGAGTTTACATAAGGGTATTCATGAATTGAGATAAAAACGTTTATAACGTACCTCAAATTTACAACCTACACATATATGTTCATGCGCCATTCTTTCCATAGTCTCAAGAGAAAGAAAAAAATTGTTTAAGGTGATCTAAAGTTTTGCATGGACTTGATAAGGCTATCAATGCAGACAGGTAGAATTTATTAAATGGCATGATTCTATTAAGCACTGCACAGTATAGCACTGTCCTCCCGTTATTCATTGAATTTCTTGAGCGGGCGCCAGTAACGTCTCCACTGTGAGACTTGTTAGTGTTGGCATATTAAATACCTCACGGGTAGCTAGCCAATCTTTGCCATGTGGGTGAGATACTCTCGGTAGCTTCCTGGGCTCTCTGAGAGGGGTGAAGGAATCGAACCGGGGTCGGCCCAGGTTGGCTGCGTGCGAGGCAAGTGCCCTACCTACTGTGCTATTGCTCCAGCCCTTCTTAGGACAGTAGGCAGCACGTCAGTCTCATAATCTGAAGATTTTATTAACACCAAATAAAATCAAATCTGATAGTAGACTGAGCTTATTACTAAAGGCCTACACTTTAATACCCCTTTCTCTACTCTTCACTAGGTAAGTACTGGGCAAAAAAGAAAGGACAAACATTACCTCTTACAGTGCTATGAGCATATCATATTACTTATGTAATTTCAATACATATCAAAATTTCTATCCATTTTAGTTAATATGACCTGCGACCAATAATCTTAAGGGAAAGAGATTTCACTGAATGTTAAGAGACTGCCAATGAGAGAGCCCTCCCACTGATACTAGGTTAAGGTACTAAACTAGGTTAATGATTAAACTCTAATCTGGAATAAACACAAGCACACAGACATGTGACTCTTTAAAAGTTCCTTTAGACCAGAATTTAAGTATAAAAGTACATTATTAGACTAGTATTCACACTTTCAATGATGAAATTAGGAGCACAAACCTTAAATGACAATGTATATAGAATTATTGCCCAAATAATCCCTTAAGTGTATGATACTTGTACCAAACCCTTTGAAAGATCAAGACCTTCTCTTTACTGGAAGTTATTCATTTAAAATACATTCACTGGATGTTATTTTAGTGTGGTGAATTTCTTATAAGCTGTAATAACTGTTTATTTAATAGTAATAGTATAGAAATAAAGTTCTTAAGGACATATTTTATATATAATCACTATTTAGCTAAGTCCTTTTATAACTCTGATACCTTTGTCATCACTAAGTTTGGTAGATGCTAACAACTCTGTTCTCATGGGGAAAATCTCAGTTTCTAGCACTACCTAGTTAGTGGAGCACTGGAGTCGCCCCCCAAACTGCTTTTGTAACAGCCCATAAGCAATTCTAGATATGGCCCACCCATTCCCTTCCTCTCACAAACACATAAAACCTCATGGCAAGTGAAGAAGTCTTAAATTCCTTCTTTTCCGAAAGTCTGTCAGTGTATGGTCAAATATACCTTATGTGTCTAGACTCTTGTAATTTTGCAAGATAGTAGCTCATTTATCTATTTTTGTAGAGGTTTTAAATTTCTAGCCTTGGTGCTAAAAGCACAGATATTATTTCAATAGTCTTTTTTTCGCTTCTCTACACGCCATCTGTCAGGAAAATTCTGGATTGTGAAGTTTTGGTTAATTATATAACCTTGAACATATTTCTAATACCGCAATCTGTAAAATCTTTGAAAGCACAGCTAACACTAAAAATCTGGTTTGGGAATATCTGTAATTTTAAAGATTTGTAAAGATTACAGATAGGTCCTTTTGAGGTTTGTTGAGTAATAGAAACAATTTTTCAGTCTTTCAGAAGATCTGAGGTAGGTGATATCAGTGTATGCTCAGCAAAATGCAGAACAATGAGATCAGAGAAAAACTGAGTCACAATTTTTTTGAAAATACTGATTGGGGAAGAAAGAATTTGACTCATACCTTGCATTATTAGAAGTGATCCCTGGCAGGGCTCAGGAGACCATATGTGGTGCCAGGGACTGAAACTAGAGTTGCAGCAGCTGCAGCTGCAGCCGTATGCAAACCAAGTGCCTTATTTCCTGGACTACCTCTCCAGGCTCCAGATGAATATTTAAAAACAAGGACAATCAAGAACTGTATGTTGTCTACATATACGAAATAATCTTTGCTTCAATTCCAGAGTCCATGTCAATACATGCTATTGTCAATTGTCTATTAAATTATCTTTGTAATACTATGAAGACCTATTTCTAAGCACTATTATCAATTGCCTCCTTTCCCTTTTCATGCCCTTATAATTGCTTAAAATTTTGCTTACTCTCAACTGATTCCCTACTAGTTAATGGTATCACACTCATTCTGACAACCTGGTTTGGTAATCTCAGAAGCATAGTAGAATCCTCATTGCTAATCTACTCAGTCTGTAGATGCCACTTTCTTGACATGTCCCACAATCACATCCTTTACACAGCTGCTGCTTTGGTTTGCACTACTTCAACAACCTCTCAACTGGTCACTCTATCTCTAATTTTCCCTCTTAAAGTTTCCTCTAATTTTAACCTTCCTGGTTGACTTTTGTCAACATGTGGTAAGAGTGTGCCTCTTCCCTGCTCAAAAGTCATTAGTAGCTTCATATTACACATTAACGCCTATCTCCGAACACCCTTTATTTGGTGCTCCCTTCTCTATCTGAGCTACCATTTCCCCTAGAATGCCCGGATGGCCTCTAAGCCATGGAGTAATCCTCCTGGTACTGATCTCAGCTATTCTTGGGTATTAATCTCCTATTTTGTTACTTTATGTCCCCCAGATGAATGTAATCTTTTTATGTCTATCCCTCTCTGACTCATTTCGCTTAGCAAATAAAGGGTGTTTGGAGTATCCTCCCAGGATGGGAGATGCATGTTGAAATTAGACTATGGACTGAGCATGATTGCCATTCAATGCCTCTTTTGCAGACCACAACACCCAAAAGGAGAGAGAAAACAAAAGGGAATGCCCTGCCACAGAGGCAAGGTGGGATGGGGGGGATGGGGGTGGGAGGGATACTGGGATCCATGGTGATGGAAAATGGGCACTGGTGGAGGGATGGGCATTTGATCATTGTATAATCGAAACCCAGGCACAAAAATTTGTAAGTCTACAACTATACTTCATGGTGTTTCACTAATAAAAGCCTATCTCCCTGGCCTAGCTTTTAATATCTATATAATATGGCCCTACTAACATTTTTGATATTTGTCTACTACAATCCCATCTCATAAACATTAAGATCCAGCTTCATGGGCTGGGGAAATACTACAGGAAGTAAGAAAGGATGGAACTTATTTTGCATCTCACTAACTCAGATTCAAATCACCTGCACCACATATGGTTCCCTGAGTAGTGCAAGAGATCGCTCCTGATCACAGAACCAGGAATAGTCCCTGAGCATACCAGGTACGGCTCAAACCCCTTCAAAAAATAAAAAGGGAAAGGAAAAAGCAAAGAATCAAGCCACAGGGGACTGGCTATTGCTATTCACTTTGCATAACTCTGCTGTTGCTCATTCTGATCCCTTATCCGAGTACGTTCCACACATCTCTGTGATACTCCCCAACTCATTTTCTCTGTATCACTCAAATTCCAGCTCAAATGCTGCTTTTTTATTATTTCCCAAGGTTCCCAATGAGAATGTAAACATCCTGTCACCTGGTTCTTAACCTCTCCCTTGAACTTTATTTTTTGGCCTTTCAGTTGGCAAGCAGTATTCTGTTCTCTAAATTCTGAACCTTTTAAGGGCAGAGACTGTCTTTTAATTAACTACAGTAATGCTTTCCTTTATCTGATATTGTCAGGGAATTAGGCCTTCCACATAAATAAAATTCCAAGTAATAAGTTCTACAAATGCTTCATTTTAAATAAACATTTTTTAAAAAGTCATCTACACTGCTATACTTCCTTTGGGTAAGAGGCCTCTCAAGCAGTGCTCGGGGGGCTTGGAGGCCACTCTTGACAACACTTGGCTCAGTGCTGGGGGTAAACATGCAACACCAGGGATCCAACTCATGCCTCCATATGCCAGATCTGGATTCACTCCAGTCCTTTGAGTTAATGCCAGGTCCTGCTCCATCTTGTTTTATTCTTGATTTATTTTTTCATTTTTCATTTTTTAAAGAACTGTGACTTACAAAGTTATTGACAATTGAATTTTAGGCATATAATATTTCAACACCAATCCCACCACCGATTTCAGCTTCTGGCAATGCATTTTCTGGGAGTTCCTCCTAGTGATTCTTGCCCATGTGGTCCTCTGGTTCAATATGAAGGCCTGAAAATACAGTGCTGTTCAGTCCTTGCAATGCCAGCCACCAATGCAATGCACAGAAGCCTCCAGAGTAACACCTGATGATGCTCATGGGCCCTCAGAGCTGTGCCTAGCAATGCTCAAGTGACCAAATGGTGCCAGGAATCTGTGGTAAATCACATGCAAGGCATGTGTTTTCTTAACTAACATATTTATTATGATTCATTACTGATTATTCACATTTGTTTTTTTAACTGGGTGGGGGCACACCTGGCAA